AGGAAAGTGGGGTGCTCTGCAGCTCTGCCCTACTAGGCAACATGCATACGCCATGCTACGGCGCTGCTCATTCCCAAACGTGTTCACAGCAACTGCTACAATCCCAGCAGTACTGTCAGCAACCATGCAGCCCATGCTGCTCTCCTGGGCAAAGAGCTAGGAAATACTGAAGCAGCTTCTTCCATCTTGGACGGCACCCTTCAGCAAGGCTGCACGACTTCTTGGGCCTGGCCTCCACTAACCCTGCCACCCTGCCCATCTCAACACGTGCTTTTCTGCCTGAGACTGGCAGGCGGCGTTCAATGGGGCTGCACAGTATACAGCTGCAGGGGAAAGTCCACTGGAGGGGAAGCCTCAGGAACGCAGCTACACCCCGCAGTCAAGTCTATAAAGCGGACGGTCCTGGCCGCTCCTGAGAGAGCAAGGCAAAGCGACTCTTTGTCCAGCCCTTTGGACATAAGAGACCACAGTTTCACATAGTTTCTCATTACTCACCCAGACAGTAACCAAACAGGACAGGAACCAAATAGGACAGCAGAAGGGACAGAGGGAATGAGTAGCAGGGGGCACTAGCAAGAAATGGCTCGCTCCTCCTTGAACTGTACTTAGTTAGGGTGACTCTGCCCTGCGCTGCAGCTTCCATGGCCCACAGGGGACATCAGTGAGCCCCCAGCAGCCTGCGTGGAGCGGGGGGACTTCCTAGCCTCCTGCCCCACCAACATATACCACAGACAACAAGCAACAGAGACTACAGCCAGGGGAAGAGGACAAGTCATCTGGCTCACGCACAAGTTGGTGGGATGAATAAGGACATGTTAAAACTGCGTAGACATTCAAGCAAACTAACTTTAATAGAAGATACTTCCAACACTGACATTGAGCGATTTGGATGGATACATCAGGTATCTCTACTCTGATGTAAAGAGAACAACCCGGACACGTCCTTTGTGAGAGGAAGAGCTCTTCACCTACACCACCTTCTGCTCTGTCCTCCTCTTTGGCCTTGGATCGCATGCAGTCATCAGAATTCAAATTCAGCAATTCAAGAAGGAAAATCTGTGGCATGTAGCGAGGCTGCAAGCAGTATTATTCTATGACAAATTTCCATCTGCACTTGGGCTATTAATGATCCTTCACAAACCTTTATTTGACCTTTACTTGGATACAGGAAGATTCATTTCTGTGGATCAGACAACTGGCTCTCTAAAGAGGTAACCAAAACAAGATGCTTCGCAAACATATGCTGGACTGGCTCTGCATGCAAAGCCCTCTGGGGGGTGTGATGACCAATGTCCTGGGCTGTCTCACTGCATTAAATCTAAATAAATACAATATTCTAAGGGAAGGAGGCACATTCTTCAAACTTACGTTGTAACTTGTTGGAACAAAAAGCTTTGTGACCCAATGCAAGACTGAGCTCACATCAGACTCCAAGCACCAATATTAATTGCCCAGGCCACTGCTACATCCTTTGGGCTTTTGTCATTTTGGAGCAAAACCTATTTCTCTATTAAATGCTCAGTTTGGCGCGGGGGTCTTTGTCGCGCTTTGGGGGGGGGGGGGGGAACGACAGAGACAGGGGTCCTTGCCATAAGAGAGTGCTCCTCCCAGCTGCCTAGATAGCTCGCTCCCTCCCCGAGGCCGAGCTGGGGGCAGCTCACTAGATAAGCTTCTAAACTCTGCTGAGAGCAGCTCCCAGGGAACCCAGCTGCTCTGCAAGGTTGCCACTGCACTGAACCCCTGGAGAGTGAGACAGAGGTCCATTTCTCTCCTCAGCTCATCTAGAAAAAAAGCACTTTGGAGAAGAGGTGTGAGCCAGGGACTGTCTCTTAATGTGGGCATCCTGTGGCCATTTAGATCCTTCTGAGGGCTTTTTGCAGCTCTATCATCCTCAGGCCCCCCCACCTCTGTGGACTGGCTCTGCACTGCCCATTCAGCAACCCCCGGAGGAGCAGAAACCCGCTCCACGGGCACTGGGGCTACGTAAGCCGGCCCAGGCTCCCTGCCTGGCTCCTACAACGGCACCCAGCAAACCCAGTGTTATCTGAGCACTAGTGAGATCAGTTCGCCCATCAAAAATCCAGCAAGCACCACTCAAGTTACAAACAGTAATAAAAGCTCCTTATTACTCCCTTTCCTGAGCGATCCTCCTCCTCCTGACAGGCTCCAGCTTACCACCGAGTTGGCACGGACACTATGCCGCCTCCACGATATCCATCCCACCCAGGGGATCTCCGAGCTGCGGCAACCCAACTCAGCGCACCCCTCCGTCCAGCCCTCTGCTGGCAGCTCTGCCTGCATTGATTCATCATCCAAACGGAGGTCAGGGACACCAAAAGAATCACTGAAGTACATCAGTACTCAGCAAAATTCCAGCAACGCCTCTCACCTTCTACACACCCTCATCCTCCTCAGCCTCTGCCTGCACGAGTCACAGGCTTCAGCAAATCACTGGGCATCGCTCGAGGCAACATCCATTGCACCAGCACACGTGCACATGTGAACGCTGCACCACGCGAAATGTCCTCCTTGTGCACCAGACACACAGGACCAAGCGCCAAAGGGGCTACGTGCTAACGAGTGAACTTCCAAAACATCCTCACTCCCCGGAGAAAAGAGCTGGATGCAACTGCAGAGTAATCCTCACGGCTGGCCAGGGTCTGCTGGGATAGCACAGCCAAAAACCCACACCGACTTCATCGTCTTTACAGTCCTACCTCCTCTTCACCACAAGGTAAACGCAGATGGGCCCCCGCTCCGCAATCCTGCCCAGCCCTTCCGTGTCCCCATGAAGGGACACGCTGTCCACTCAGCAAGGATGACATGACTCTCTCCTCTCCTTAGGAGTCAGCATCACCAGCGTGCCCGACTCTTATGCCTGCATTTGAAAGCCACCTGAACAAGTCATTTTCTAACAAAGGCTCGTCTCTGAGAAATCTCTTTCTTTTTAAAGACGCACTGTCCATTTATTTAAAGAGTCTTTAGCTTTGGTTCTTATTTCTCTTCCTTATTGATGAAAAAACCTTGAGATGCTTTAAAAAAAAAAAAAATCTTCCTGGCACTTTCCCAGTTATGAAAACCTCATGTTTTTCTCCCACTTTGTTTTGAACAGTGCTGAAAGCATCACGGCAGTTTTTAACCAAGGATGCAAATCACAAATGCTGTGTTATCCTGCTTAGGTGGCTGCCAAAATATATAAGCCTTGGCACAGTTAAGAAACCAGAACGGTTCTGATTACCACACTGGCTATGTGTTGTGCCCTGTGAAACCAGCAGAGGGAAGCCAGAAACCTTTTGTAATATCAGGACAAGGAATTATTCCCCATCCCCTTTTCTTTCCTCTCTGTTCCTCAAGAAGAGATTTTAAAAATGACTTTTGGTCATTAGAGATGTTAACTTTGCTTAGGCTTCAGATTTTTTTTTTTTTTGCATTTGTAGATGCAACGTAGCTAATAGGTTTTAGGTGCTAGTGTATTCAGTCAACCTCAAACAAAATTCCAAAGACTGGGGGTGCGGGGGAGAAATTGAATCTTTAAGTTAGATACATATGTTTTTCTACTTGAGAGACAGATCCTGTATATTATATTTGGAAGCATAAAAGAAACTCGACAGTGTTCCTTTAAGAAGGCAGAGATGAGCTACTCTGCATACTGTAGCATCATTCACCTCCACGTTTCCACCATCGCCACTGCCAGCGTCCCTACTGAACAGCAACACAGACAGGGACAACCACGGTCCACGTCATCAAGCGTCACTAATGACACCCCACGGGCCCATGCAACACCAGGCAAGGTTACGGCTGTGGGAGAAAATGGGCCCTACCTCTGTATAACAGCTGCGGAATCATTCTCTCGTTTCCGTCTCTTCCTCTCTGCGTAGCCCCTGAATGCCCTGGGAAACCATTTTAAGCCATTAACCAACTACACAGCTTTGAACTGGAGATGACATGAAACACATAGACAAGAGAGAAAGCTCTCACCAGACAACAGAGAGAGGTTAGGCTGACCGAGGAGGAGAGCCAGGCCTTGCAGAAGCGTATGTGCGTCAGGGACCGGGCAAAAGAGTCACCAAACCAGAGGTCCTCGCTCTCTAGAGTAGCTGGCTGGAGAAATCATTGCTCCTGAAGTAAGCATACGAGTGGCTAGAGCACGGCCCAAAGAACGGGGAAGAGCCGCCACCAATCCCTACTACAGAGGAATGGACCTAGGAGACCGCAGACAAAACCTCTGTCCACCAGCATCAAGAGGCACAGAGGCACGCTAGCAACTGCAGCCTCCATACTGAAGATGGCGATGGCTGCAATGTGATCCACGTAGGCCTACCAGGTGGAGTCACCTAACCTCTTGCCAGCTGACAACTAGCCCTAGCACAGGGAAAGCGCAAGTGAATATGACAGACAGGAGAGGAGAGGAGTTTATCCAGGACACCAACAGACAAGGAAACAAAATACGAAGATTATACTTACGAGATGCTAGAGATTCCAGGAAACGCAGAGAAAAAGAAAAAGAAGAGGAATTCATTAGTGCTCAGCCCCAGCCAGCAATCTGCGGGAATCCTTGCTCCAGAGGAACAAATATTTCTTTTTGGGTGGAAGAAAATTGCTTTTTAAATTAGACAGTTCTCAGTGGTGAAACTCCTACTGGACCAAGCTAAATCCTCCCTGGGGCAGTGTCGGCGTGTGGCTCGGACACAAATTGAGTTTCGTGTGGACCCAGAGAATATGCAGATGTATTTGTACAACTGACAGCTGAATGGGGCCCTTCAGGCTGCAAGAGGAGCTCAGCATCATGGGCTTCTGCAGTGGGGAGGCCTCCTCACCAAGGCTACTAAGACTTGGGAAGTCAGCTCACAGTATCTAGTCTCTGAAGGATGGAAGCACCTTGGGCTGAAAATACCAGAGCAGACGCTAGAACAGAGGGACCTGAAGGAACCATCCCCACCACCTCAGGGAGGTGCGATAATCTTTTGGAGATGTTTCTGTGCAATTTCCAGAGGTCGTACAGTATCTCCAGAAACGTTAACTAAGGGAGCTGTGCTCCCCGAGGGCTTCCTTAGCGCACATTTCCCCCAGCCAACAACCTGGCTTTGGCTTCCAACAGCTCTAAGCCTTGTAGCCCTGCCACAGGCCACCAACTAGCAACAAACCTCGTGCACAGCAAAGGTGACTTCAGAGAGCAAAGAACGTGTCCAAAGGCAAAGGGAACACGCTGGTTTCGTGGATGGTTTTGTTTGTCAGGTCAGGACTGTAAAATGCAATTCACTGTTTCCAATCAACTTTTGTAAAGAGTAAAGCAAGAATGCATCAAACTGCCCTTGGACTGCCCAAGGGCCCTGTCAGCCTGTCTGGTGCCAAGCAGCGTTAACTGCCTGGGGGTGCTGCCCAACTTACCATCCTTGGAAAGGAGGCGAGGGACCCAGGGGCTAGCGTGAGGGCAATACAGAGGGCAGAAGTCTACAGAGGCCCCTCACTCCTCCCCTCCGGGTGAGGTTAGCGTGCCATCACTGTGCCGTCAGAGCCCACCCACTGGCACCAGGCAAACGCCTCTCCGGCCAGTTCCCGGTGCTGGGAGAGAGGGTGGCTCACACCTGCAGCTGAGCTGGGAGCTGAGGAGGGAGAGGCGAGGAAGGCACGCAGCTTTTACCAGGGGATGCAGTGTCCCTCCACACTGCAGCAGCCACCCACCCTCCTCCCCAACACCGAATCCAGCCCTCTGCGCCTCAGCCCTTACATGTCCGACTCAGTCTGGGTTATCCCAACATCAACAATCGGCTTCTGTTGGGAGTTTGGAGAGGGGGAAAGTACGTGGGAAAGAGGAAACAGCAGAGAAGTTAACTGTGAAAGGGAGACCAGGTGAGACGAGCAGAAAGTGAGAGCAGTAGAGCAGAGAGCGACACAGACATAGACAGGAAGGAGGTAACAAGGCTGGAAAAAGGCCTTAGAAGGCCAAATAGCTTCTCATTTTCCTCATGACCTGCCTTAGCTTTTCAGTCAGATAAGAAACACTTGAAATCAGGAAGACTTCTTTTACCGGACAAGCGTGGCACAACCTTCAAGTGAGGCTTTGCTCACTCTCTTCAGTGCCTTGGGAACTGCTTCCTCCCAACACAAGAGCGTCCTAGGGGCACCAAATTCTGAGCAGAGCGTGAAGGGTGAGGCTACGGCTAACTCAGATTTGCTCATGCTCTGCAGAGATTTTATTGATGTCTTCAAACAACCAGACCAGCGCAGAGGCCATAGGTCTGCATCTCACCCTACAGAGACATACATCCTCTGGAGCGATGGAGGCAGGGCAGGCCTGGATTCACGACTCCTCAAGGCAGCGGCTGCAGCAGGAGCAAATGGCAGAGGGTTTCAGCTGGCGTTCCCGCAGGACCCTCGCTCTGCAGAGGCAACCAGGGCCAGGGCACAGCATCACAGAGCAAATAAGGGAATCGGGGAGGAGCTGAGCTGCCAACAAAGGAGTTAAAGAAGGGGAAAAACAAACAAGTGGGAGTAGTAGGAAAGAGAAATAACGAGTGCAGGAAAGAACGGATGAGAGACAAGGTTCTCTCTCTCACTCCCATGCTGTGGTGCCAAACATACAACTCAATTGCTCCAGGCTCTGAGATACAGCTCTTCGTGAACCACATGCTCTGAGATACATGACCAAAGCTACAACAGTCGTTTCACTTACGCTTGCATAGTTGTAGTAGCAGTTTGGAAACTGAAGAGGTTCTCTTTTGGGAACCAGGTTCGTATAGGGACATCATCTGGAAGAGAGAGAGCAACACCTGAAAACTCTAGCAGGCAGAGACGGACTGCGCACACCCAGACTTTCCAAGCTATTTCTCTTAACGCTTTTCTTCAACAGCCTGCCCTGTACTAAATAGGAGAGTCCCATCTTCCTCATATATGCACATGCTACCACCAAGTGTTTTGTAAATTTGTGCTAAGCCTTCTGAGTTGCACTTGTCTATCGAGCTATTAAATGAAGAATGAAAGCTCTCTGCTAAGCATAGAAGATTAGAATATTCCAGGAATTACATAAAGAGGAGACATTTGGAGAAGGAAGAAAAAAAAAAAAAACAAAATGAAAAGAAAAAAGAAAGAAACATTTCTCCTTAAAAGCATTTTCCAGCCTCTGCCTTTTTCTTAGCTCATTCAAATGGTTCTTTCCGATACAAACCCCTTGTTGCAGCTGAAAAGCAGTCCCTTCTTCTAAGTAGAATTATAAGCCTGAGATACACTTGTTCTCCTCCATTCAAGTTTTCCAATATGCCCCTTACACAGCTCATAGCCATGATAACCTGGCCTTCAGTTTTTTTTTTTTCTTCTGTTTTTAGCAGTCAAACAGCACATCAGGTGTGCAGTCTGGAAATCCCCTCCATACTTATTTGCTCCCTTATGTTTGTAAACTGCCCTGCCTGAACCAGCTGTGGGTTACTTTCCAATTCTGTTGGCATTAGGACACCCCATCATCTTTACGTAATGGCCACTAACGGACAAAAAACAGGCAGCAAAATAAGTTATTAATTATGTTTGTGGAATGTTCGTGTCGCAGAAGAAGGAATTTGACCAAAAAGCAGTTGCTACCAAGAACTCTCCGGTTAAAATCCATCAGCCAGGGAATCAGAGGTATATTAATACCCACTGCCATGAGATGTGCGAGATCTCATCGGATTGGATTCCCAGGATTTCACTTCCAGCTTCATGGCTCCCTTGGTTAACACCTTACCATACGTTGCTGACCATGCGTCTTGTTTCACTCACTGGAGTGTTAAGATCATTAGCAACTCTAGTATCTCAGTCATTAATATTCTGGCATTGTCAAGAGTATTTTTTATTCACTTTTCCCGGCCAAAACCCAACCCAACCCTATATGCCTACTGCAGATACAATTACTACAGATCAGATAACTCACCAAGCGTTCCATATAGGTCATCATATACCTAGAAACTGATCCTGCAGTTCCCTGAAAGCACAGGAACATGGGTGCAATTACAGATGCAAAAATGCTAAATGCAAGTGGGGAGGCTTCCTTTGAAGTGGAGCTCGTATAAATGCATGCCCAGTAGTAGCCCCTAAGAAATCATGCAGAAAGCTGTAACAGACACTCCTTCTCAGCTGACAGTTTATGTCAAGCCTTGTATACAGGCACCTAAGGAAATATATATTTTAAATGAAAACTGCATTCTAGTATCCTAAATCCTTATTATGAAGTCCATATGTCTGCCCTCCTCCAAAAACCAGATAGAGGATAAATGCAAAATAGCTGAGAATATAAATGAACTATTTGTTTGAAGTCTTGATCCCACAGAAGTGTTGAAGGAGGAGAAGCTGTACGAATCCTGGCTTAGCCAATGCTTCTGTGCAGATGTCTCAGGGACTACACATCTCAAAGGACTGACAATGTCTTAATATATTTTCCAGCTTTTAAATCACTAGTTTTGATTCAAAACAGAGCTTATGTGCAACAGCTAATACCCTCACGAGGTACTATCTGAGAAATGGCTGGAAGCCTCCCCTCGACTTCCGATAGACAGGAGTGGATAGAGGGGAGGTATCACTCCCCCGTCCATAGCAGTCAATGGAGAATAAAGGAATCTGCAACTCTTCAGAAGTGCTTCTTTATCTGCCAGAGGTGGAACAGCAGCAGAGAAGCACCCAGCTGGGGCTAGGGAGCCCAGTCCACCTTCAGAGCTCATCTGGCAGATTGAAACTCTGAGTTTGAATATAGCTACTTTGCTTCCAGGAGCAGGGAGCAAGCTCCTCCTTTTTTGCCAGGCAGAGCATCTTCTTTTCCCTCTTTTTTATCATCTACTGTGATGAAGTAGCCAAGGAACCATGGGCCTAGGAAAGACTGCAGAAACAGTGACATCACGTTCAGCCTTTCCAGCACCTGCCAGGCAGCATTAAACATCTCAGCACCTCCATCCGTTAATGGATGTGTTTGTGTCAGATGCTGAGAGCAACATGGGAGACAACAGCTTGTGCTTCTCTGGAATGGTGCTAGATATCATAAACTCAGCATAAAAATCCATATTAAATTATGCCAATCTGGCCTAACTGCCATGAGGATTGGTTTGCAGCAGTAACTAGCCATGTAAATCCAAACAGAAAAAACAGCATCATGAAATGAATCTCTGGGGAAATCTCTGCTCAGTCTTTCTCCTGTCTCCATTCATCTTTGCTCTGTTTTCTCCCCTAGCCACGCGTAAAGGACATTACAGGAAACACTTCTTGCAACTTGCCATTCAGTTATTGGTTTTTCTCTCAGTAACAACGCTTGGATAGAGAGCACAAATTAGGTCAAGCTGAGAAAACTTTCAGTACATGGCACCAGTGCATATATGATGGGAGTGCATACGATGGGTCTCCGAGGCACAGTGCTGTCTGTGCTGCCACACGTGCAAGCACTCGGAGGCTACAGTCGAGCACAGAGGGCACCCGCTGGCTGGTTGTACAAGATGTGAAATATTCATGGCAGCATCTGCAGGTCTGATGCTATCCAGTGCGCTCCCATTTAGGTAACTACTCTGATATATTTTCAGAAGGATAATCTCCATTTCACCCTGATAACTGGCCCTAATGAAAATTGCTGCCCATTTGAAAAAAATACATATTATAAAGCCCGTTCTGCATCAATTCAGAACAGGTCTTACAGCTGGAACCGATTCAAATGAGCACTCTGATCTCCATATGACCAAGCCCCTCCAGGCTGTCGTCTCTCTTCCTGAAAGTCCAGGCACTGAAACACTTTCTTTTTCTATTCTCACGCAAGTATTCCTGCTGTATTCACATAAGTATTCCTATCCTAAGTAAAGCACCCTTTAACAGGAAAAATATATATGATCAGAAAACTATAAACAGAGGAAAACACTTCTCACTCCTTCTCTTGTACCTAAGAAATAAAGTTTACACCTGTACATGTAATGTCTCAGGTGAAGCCCAAAAATCTACAGGGAACAGAGAAATAACGCTTGGAAATTATGCACAGCCTCCCCCCACTTTTTTCCCTTTTAATATTAGCCCACGTATGATTTTAGTCATGTAATTTCAGACATCCAAGTATGAAAATATGGTCCCTAACTTAAACTTTCTGCCGTTTTACCCGCATGTAAATATCCCTATGAACACAGGGAAGACATACAGTTTGATCCCCACAGTCCTTATATGCTACTTGGTTCCTTTTCAAGGGGAAAACCTTGAGCTACCTCACTGGACACAGCCCTAAAAGCCTCAATGTGCGATTACAGAAAAGTCAGGCAAACTAGGTCAGCCTCATTGCCAGCCACGTATAGAGCTGACAGATATAGAGATGGATTGCATCCTAGCTTATAATTCAAAGCACACAGATTGAGACGTATATTTGATTAATAGTTAAGTTTTTAAAAACAATCAAGAATTTTTTAATGCAATTGAGTAATTACAAGGCATATTCCCTGAAGACATTCAGCAAGTGAAGGGAGAAGGAAGTCTGATATCATGTTATTTGGTAGTATTTATGGAAAGACTATGAGGTGGCACTATATGAGGGACCCAGCCACGTACACAGGCATTTCAGGGACACACCAAAGTCACCCTCACTGAACTACATTAAACCGGCATGAAAACTACCTCAGCTTGTCTGCTGTGGACAAGCTGGAAGCAGAGCTCCAACAGGGCTGCTCTTGTGTTTGATTGCCTATTTGGAGGAGCTGGCCTCAAACCGAGCTCAGCTTATTTTAAACTCCGCCTTTCTGCAGACACTGGTGCAAGGTGCCAGCAAAGTGCTGAAGAGGAAACACTACAGGGCTCAACCCAAGCCACTCGGCAACGATACCCTCGTGCCGGGGAAGAGATGGGCATCGACCTTCACTTGTGTGTCGATGGGACCCTTTACGTCCTTTCAGTACCTAGCACCCACCCTTACTTACCAGACACTCGATCGACACTATACATCCTCTCCAGCCTTTTCCTGTGCCACCCTGACTCGCTGGATTGATGCTGCTCCAGGTCAAAGGAATGCTGGGAAGGAGGAGCCAGCCGGGTGCAGTTTGGGCACTCCTTGGAGCCCTGCCGACTGCCCGGCCAGCCTTTGCAATGCCTGCTCACGCCGTGAGAGCCGCCAGCACTGTGCATAGGGTGGCCGTGGTGGCACTCCTCTTGGGCGGCCCCCTTCATCACCACCAGTTCCATGCTTTCGTTCTCATGGTCCGACAGCATCGGCCGCTCGCCGGAGATCGTGTAAACTCGTGGCTTTGGTCCCTCACTTGGCATCTTCTCCGCCTGCTCCTCGGAGAAGCTCCTCTCAAACTTGCCGTCCGAGATGACGGAGAGCCTGCGCTTGTTCTGTGCTGCCTGCTGCATCTCAGGGGAGTCCTCTTGTCCAATATAGGAGTCTGCTAACAGGTGATCTGAAACAGATGGCACACATTACTGCTTAAATCTGAGGCATCCCAGGCACAGATAGATCCAGGAAACCCTTTGCTACTGCTGAAAGAAAGGGGAAGGGAGAGAGAGAGAGAGAGAGGTGTGATGGCGCCCCCCCACCCCCCCAAGCCTTTTTAGATGAATGTTTCCACATAGCTTTCTAAATCTCCAGAACTAGTACTGAAATGAGACACATTTCTCACAGATATGCCCAATAGTTTAAACTTGCAAAGAGCCACCAACAAGGGCTAGGAGTAAACACAGCTCTGGGTGCATAGCCTGAAAGTGCTTATGTGCAAAGCAGCCCTTGTTCAGCTGTACAGTCCTAGCTATTTCAACAGGTTTACCTAGACAAGGGCGACTGAGCTGGGGAAGGTCTGCAGGACAAGGACCAGCCTCAGCTTTTGCCCTGGTACCCCTTTGATCCTGGTAAGAGGGACAAGCTCCAAACGTTCTTTGTGTGCCAAGCTATTACTTTCTAAACTAAAGGAAAGAGGCAAACCATCAGGAGTTTCTGGCTAATTTTCTGCCAATTGGTTTGATATGAAAGAAATGCAAAAAGCTGACAGCTGCGACACAGTGGCCCCGCTCTCTGCGGCACCCCTGGCTAGCCTCTTGCCTGCAGATGGTGATGGCCACCGCCTACAGAAGCTGCCCTGAAGAAAGATGCAGCAGCTCCCTTTATAGGGTAGCAAGATCGAAAGGAGAGAGACCCATCAGTGCAGCTGCCTTTGGAGCCCACACAGCGGATGAAGTGCCAGGAAATTTCAGCATTTCCATGGCAATTCCATGCATGAACCCAACCGTAGCTGCCACCCACCTGCTAATCCCTTTTTCAAGTGGCTGTTAATTACCTCTTACACCTCCCTTCAGATGGGAAGCAGCTAGGGGACTGTTAAAAAGGCTCAGCAGGGAATACATTAGTCATGTGACTACTACCTCAGAAAAGATAAAATCATAGGCATCCAGCACAGACAGTAGCATTATACACAGAAGCAGAAGGCAAACCCATTCCTTTACTTCATCATATACTTGATGAACGTTTTTCCTTTAGCTGCTGAGCCGTGTTCTGGAAGAACCAAACAACCACCTGAGGCTTGGTTATCTTTTAATTAGCCATGAAGAGATGAAGGATGAAGAGAGCTGTCTCATGACAAGTCTGCTGTAGTACGTGTGCATGCAACCTGGACTTTTCACTGCTGCCGCATCCTGCATCGTATGAAGTGCTCTCATGCCCCCCTGGAAGAGAGTCCTCCCATGCTGAGCCCTCCGCAGCTGGCCCCAGGACCTATGCTATCCGTATGTGAATCTGAAGTCCATCCTGAATTATGCTCACATTGCTAAGGGCCTCTCCTCCTGCTCTGCTTGCAGCCAGGACTGAACTGAATTTTCCCAATGGTGGCACAGTGTGTCATCCTCATCTCATTTTTCTGCTTGAGACACAACTTCCTCCAGCAGTACTAGGAGATATATGTGTCTCTAGCCATTCTGCTCAGGAGACGGGTAGAAGAGATCGTCAGGACGAGTCAGGCTGACACAATGGAGTTTTGTTTCATTCGTCTCCTAGCGAGACCTCGGGCTCTCTGCAGACTGGAGCTGGCAGCTGTGCAGTTGTCTCCTTGAGCTGACCAGTAGAAGGCGTCATTAGGAGTCCTAAAAAACCCCTGTGTCTTCCAAATCAATAGCTGACGCTATCTTTCCAGGCTTCACACGAAGTCCAAAATGCATGGATATGCATGGTGAGGGGTCCAGCACCTCACCAATACTGTACAGGTAAAGTTTCAAAGGCAGACAGTGGTCTACTGAACCCATGGCCCTGTGCAGAGAGACAGCATGGACATCTGCATCTCTTCCAGCAGGAGGGCCTGCTGGACTACATGGGCCTTCTCCAGAACATGTTCACACCCTACCATTCAAGCAGAAGTAGCTGCTCCATCAGCTGTCATTCAACAGCTCATCCACTGAGTCCTACCAGTTACAGGGTAGGATATCATGCACCAACCAGTACAGTAAGGGTTCACAGCCTTCAAAGCCTCTCCAACCACTTTTCACCCCTCAAGAGGCAGCAGGATACTGTATTTGTTCACCAGCCACTCAATCCCCCTCCAGTACCATGTCTAACCGTGCTTCAAAGTACGCATGCATTGGTAAAACATCATCATTGAGCAAACCTGTGCCAGCTTTTTTTCCTCCACTCACAACTCTGCAAAGTTTGCGATTCTAACAATCCCAAGTATACCATTTTTTAAATTAAAAACAAAGACCAGTTCTAGGCATTTATCTCAACTTGTCAAATTTACTAATCTGTGTGGGCACAATGACACTAGATATTCCTTGAGACACCACAATATGGTAGCTGACAGCTGCTCCTGTTCCTCCCAAAAGCTTTACTTCTATGGAGTAGAGACAACATCATTATAGCAAACCAACAGGATTATGCACCTTTACCCATGCACTGACAGCACTGCAGTTTCTGTGCTTCAAACAAGTCAATCGTTGATAAGAGAACTGAGAATTTCTCAACTCTGGTATCTGAAGGCAACTGGTACAGAACAAAGTTTGAAGTCTGAACCTTTTATTTAGGTTCTAATGCCTCAGTCACCTCTGGGAAATAGAGGGGCCCAAAACGTACTACATCTGAAGATGTTGAGGATTACAAGTGCAGAGAGCCAAATTCCAGTCTCAGTTTCATAAACACAGAGTTCTCTTGGCTCCCTCAAGATTTACAGACATGTACACGGGAGATGACTGGTTTCAATTAAGAGTCAATCTTTTACTGAAGTCACAGCAGGGTCACAGTTCTTGGGTGGATATACTTGCTATAAACTACCTATCTGATGAGAACATGCTATTGTGCAGAACGTGAGGCTAATTTCTTTCTTACCTTACTTTTCCTATACTCAAGGTGTTTTGACTTGTACTTAGCTAGGAGTTTTCATGGTGAAATACTGTAAAGGACTACCAACACACCAATATGCTCTCTCTTTGTCAAATAACTAGCTAATCATTTATTTTCCTCCAATTACTTAGCACCTCAGAAGCAACTTCACGTGCAAAGGGAATAGGAAGCTTTGCTCAAGACTTCTAGTTAATAAGGAATTTATCTACAGAAAGAAATTAGTATGAAAGGAGAGGAAAAAAAAGTCATCCATCATAATGTATTTCTGGCCTCTAAAAATTAACCCACGCTCATTTGAGGTAGTGAGTCTGCGCTAATGTTCACACACAGGTGGGTGCACACATGCATGTACATGCTTATTCATGCACACCAGCAGCCCCGAGATGTTAGCGTGCTTGAAAACAATCGATTCCATCCTCTGTGCTTGCACTGAACTGAATTCAGGAGCCAAAGCACTGTAACTGCTTCCACTATGGCATTTTAGGTTAACAGTTTGCTTCCGCTAGGGAAGAAGTCAAGCTGGTCCAGAAATCAATGCTGAATTAAATCTGAGCCACAGGGATGTTTAGCGAAGAGAAACAGTAACTGGGGACTTTAGCAATAACTGAAATTGCCTTCTAAGAGTCATCTGAAACAGCCTGCTGTTAACACCCTGTGCCTGGTTTCTGCTGCTCTGTTTCATTGCATTTTCACGTTGCTCTTGCCACCTCTCCCACAACCAGCTGCTCCATCAAACCGCCACGCCAGCCCAGGGCAGAGTGACATAGGCAACCTGGCATGGCGCCCTCCTCCCTCTAGGCACTCGGATGAAGCTGACCCAGGAGCAGCTCTGTTCTCCCATTCGCTTTCATCAACAACACGCTTGTCCTGCACAACTGCAGGGTTACCTCGGAGTAGATACATCAGGTTCCTCAAATAGATTTTTCATCCAGATTTGTGCTCTGCGTGGATTTGTTGTGTTGGTCTGCTTACTTCTCTGTATCCTGCCATTCAACGTCTCAGACACATTTGGCCTGTTGATCATATGCCTATCGATAACAGCAACGTCCAGACCATGTATTTCCATTACTTCCTCGTCTACCCCTGGGCTGAGTCTAACAGCCTGCCCCGAGTCTGGCGGCTTACCAGTCCAGTCCTGAGAAGCATTCGGCTTCCCACTCCTCTTGCCATTTACTTGAATGCGTTTCTCTTCTTACTGGCTTTACTTGCTCCTCTATGATATTTCTGCCCAAAACAGTCATGAGGGCGTAAGTACCAAAGACATGACCACTGACAGCAATGATAATCTGTACTCATTAATTTGTGATCCTTTAGGTGGATAGAGACAGAACCAAAAGAAAGAATCCATGTTCTCAGTAAACGTATTCTGATTATTATGCACTTATTACTATCAGATACCTAAAAATCTATTCTTGGCATCCAGTAACTCTAAATAACTTGAACACGCAGTCTGACCTATGCAACTAACTTTTAGGGCTTTCCTCAATTTCTTTCCCTGTGACAACACTTCAAGAAGAGAAAACACACTGGGATAAGTCTCAGGTGACAGATACCCTTTCACATCAGTGGAGACTCACCCAGCCAAAAAAAACTCATGTCTGATGCAGACTATCTATACCCATAAGATGAGATTAAAAATCATGGCAGAACATAGCCAGTAGGCACAGACAGAAGCTTAAAAATATATATATAACTGTATTTAGCAGGCAAACTGATGACTAAAGCACCTCAGACCTAAAACCTCAGCTCCACCATTAGAAGCAAAGTAACTAATGGGAATCTAGATAAATGCTATTTAAAAAAAAAAAAAAATCTGTCGTTTCGGAAAAGTAGAACTTAGAACCATTTTCTCTTCTCTGCTCCTCCTCAGCCAGACCTCTCTGGACCAGATGCTTCTTCAGTTTACGGTACCAACATCACATAAAGAATTGGCCCCGACCACTGAACCTTAATTGAAAGATGCTAGGTTTCAGGACATGGACTTGCAGTATTGTTTGTAGTAGGAGGAATTAAATTAATGTTTTTTTATTTTACACCATTAGAAGACCAGGTGATGCCCTCAAAGAGGGGTGCACTGGCTAGAGC